AGCTCAGGGAACTTGAGAATGAAAGTTAGCAGGCAGAATGTTTGGGAAGAATCCCTTATCAAGCTAGGAAGAGCAAAAGAGGATGTATGCAAACCTATAAAGGTTCAATTCATCGGAGAACCAGCTGTAGATCAAAGTGGGCCATTACGGGAATATTTTGGGCTGGTAAATTCTGCTGCTCAAGAAAGGTTGATGTCACAATCTGTTTTTAAACACAATATCTCAGCCTTACAACAAAGGGAGTATTATGCATTTGGACAGCTTACTGCCCTTGGCCTATTACAAGGATCTCCAGGCCCTAGATATTTCTCTAGGATTGTAGTTGATTACATTTTGACAGGAAATATTGAAGACCTGATGCCATCTATTGCTGAAATCCCAAATCATGACATAAAGACCAGTCTTATTGAATTGGAGGAACTCTCAAATCAGTCAACTGCTGATGAATTCAGAGAAAAAGCAAGCTTTGAAAGTGGATTCCGATTTGAATCAGGCTACACAAAGCCATTTGTGACGATGTCTGATAAAGATGAGTTTCTCAGATGCATTGCACTTCACTACATGTGCTTGTGCCATTGAGTGAACTTAACCAGTTTGTTGATGGTTTGAAGACTTGCAATATTTTGCAGTTAGTCCGAGAAGATACAGATATGTTCAGAAGTCTATTTGAAGTGTCAAACACCAAGCCAATCGCTGAGGATATTGACTCCATTTTTGACCCATAATTCAGCCCTGTCGGGAGTTTAATCAGTATCTTGAAGATGTTAAGAATGGTAGAGTTGTTAGCCAAGTTGAAGAAATGGAAGTCACACTTAACCTGAATCAAATTCTTGAATTTGCAACTGGTGCACAAGATATACCTGCAGTTGGATTCTCTCCTCGTCCAACCATAGAATTTTTACACAACTTTGGTGCTCAAAGGAAGATCAGCACAAATGCTTGTGCTAATGTTCTCAAATTTCCTGTAGGTGAGTTGTGTGATCAAAAGAAGTTTATAATGAGGAATTTACTTTTTGTTTGTTGAACTCACCTGGGTTTCAGTTACTTTGAAATTGCGCTGTGCAATCTGCGAACTGTGGAGAGGACTGAACTCATATCAAACTCATATAAATTACTTACTACGTGAGAACAAGTTTGTGCAATTGTCAAGAAAAAGTTTGTGCAAGTTTGTTACAAAGTTTATGTATGGCTTAACAAAAACTATTGAGCTTGCTTTATATGTTCACCAGTCCCAGTACTTTTATGGGAACTTTGGTATGTTGTCTTGATATTGTTTGGAATTGTTAATGGTAGTTGTCTTTCATTTCGTTTGCTTGCTTGTTTCATATTATGTGCATGCGTAAATAAGTTTTCATTTGGTCTGCGTAGCAGTCGCTTTATTTCATTGAAGGTTTTGAGGATGTTTGAGTAAATGGCGGGTTAAAAAAAATGGGCGAAGAAAAAAGGGTGAGAAAAAATGGGCGAAGTTTGCTTTTCCTTCACCCGTTTTTTCTCGCACTTCTTTTCTTCGCCCAGTTTTTCTCCGCCCAGTTTTTCTAACCTGCCATTTATTCATAAATCTTTAAAACCTTCAATAAAATAAAGCGACTGCTACGCGGGCTAGTATTCATGCAACTGAAAGTGTATATAACTTAGTTTCCTCTGTCAAGAGAGTAGAGAATTGGGAGAAAGTGATGTGAAAAATGAGGAGTCGTCGAAAAGGATGGGGAAGGAAAAGGGCAACAACAATACAACACTGCACCACTTTATAGTTATAGATTTTGTTTAACTTAAACAATGGTTGAAAAAAATACAATCCATAACTTGGTCAAAAGGCATTACTGCTTGGCCATTCTAAAATGGGATAGATGTAGTAACAAATAAATATTAATAGTAACTTTAGTGATCACCACATTATGTACACCTACAAATGCACATTAATTAAGCATGCATCTCATCTGAATGATGTATAGTACTTGTCTCTTATGATGAAATTATATATACATATACAGTAAGAGTTATTTGTATATTTCTGAAGATTTTGATATATTTTAATTGATGGATTTTACATAAACTTCAAAATACCTTTTAAATTTATGGACCAGAACTAATTCACTATCTGTTTTTGCGTTTTGGGATGTTCACGAAGATCATCTTTCATGAATGTTTGCATACTGAGAAATAGGCGTGCAAAGCAATGTATGCCTATTTCTGAGGTATGAAATCCCCAAATAGGCATAAAATGACAAGCATAGTGACTACATATTCTAATGGGCTTGCTGACACACTGCGTGTAATTCCAAGACTACATCATACTGTAAATCCTTTATTAAATAAGCCCCATTTTTGCTTCTGCACTTCAGCTAAATCAGTAAGACCTATACTGCAAGCTGTCCCTCCGGTTTAGCTTCCCGGACGTGCAAGGGGAAAGGAGGAACTGGCGACTGTTTGCGATCTAATAAGACCTCTCTCTAAATATAACACTTCTCTAATAAGCCCCTCCCCTTAAATGTGCCAGAACTAAACAAGCTCCGCCAGGGTTTTAATATAGGTTTTACGTTATGTGCGTGTGTTCATGTTTCAGCAACTGTTGATAGTCTATGGTATAGGTCTAATGCATTCCTCCACGAACTTGGCTGAGTAATACCAAGCATTTCATTGGCATAAGCAAAGTATTCCTGGTAAATGAGCGATTCATTTGAATCATCAGATGGATTCAGCTCACGATTAATTTTTTCTAAATCCTCGGGGTTGTATTGGTGTTTGTAGTCAATAGTGCCAACACTGTCTGGTAAATAATATAGAGTATTGGGGATTCCTGAAGCAGTATGGTGTCGAGACTTTCGGATATAATGATTATGCCATTCCTCTCTTACTTCATCCAATTCTTTCTGTATGATCTTATTGAGACAAAACCAAATGCACTCCATATGCATTTTATTGCTAGTATCAAGATTCCCTGCACCTATCAGGTCTTTGAAAAAGTTAATCCACCATGAAGTCCATGATCGCCTTAGGTATGCCCACCACGCTTCAATGCGTTGGTTGCTGTGTGAGGAACCAAAACGGTGAGCTTTTAAGCCAGCAAATGAATCAGTACCATTTCTTCTGAGG